TACATTCGGAGAAAAGCAGATACCTTATAGATTCGACTTCACTATACCAGAACAGTAGCAGAACGTTTTGACTTGGCCATATATAATACCAAACATAGCGTATATTATTCAATTTTATAAACAATGTGGACATCATAAAATGGATTTGTATTTCAACTAAATCAGCTACGGTAAGAAATCTAAAGCAACAATGACGTCAGACAAACATTACAATCCGGAGAAGAGGAGTTGATTTAGTTATTTTAAATTAAAGATACAGTTGTGAGCAAAGTCAAATGAATTTCAACAAAAACTTATAAACTTTTGAAATTTTCGATTGAGTTAATCTGACGCAAAATTGACGTAACTCGTATTTAGCGATTTTGGTGATTTTCAAAGCCCAGCAGCAAGTTGTTCCGATCTAGAGGCGGTTGATTTTATTATTTTAAATTAAAGATATAGTCATATAGATTGTAAGCAAAATCGAATGAATTTCAACATAAACTTTTGAATTTTTCGATTGAGTTAATCTGACGCAAAATTGACTTAACTCGTATTTAGCGATTTTGGTGATTTTCAAAGCCCAGCAGCAAGTTGTTCCGGTCAAGAGGCGGTTGATTTTATTATTTTAAATTAAAGATATAGTCATATAGATTGTAAGCAAAGTTGAATAAATTTCAACAAAAACTTATAAACTTTTGAATTTTTCGATTGAGTTTTGATAATCTGACGCAAAATTGGCGTGACTCGTATTTAGCGATTTTCAAAGCCCATCAGCATGTTGTTCCGGTCAAGAGGCGGTTGATTTTATTATTTTAAATTAAAGATATAGTCATATAGATTGTAAGCAAAGTTGAATAAATTTCAACAAAAACTTATAAACTTTTGAATTTTTCGATTGAGTTTTGATAATCTGACGCAAAATTGACGTAACTCGTATTTAGCAATTTTGGTGATTTTCAAAGCCCATCAGCATGTTGTTCCGGTCAAGAGGCGGTTGATTTTATTATTTTAAATTAAAGATATGTCATATAGATTGCAAGCAAAATTGAATGAATTTCAACAAAAACTTATAAACTTTTGAATTTTTCGATTGAGTTAATCTGACGCAAAATTGACGTAACTCGTATTTAGCGATTTTGGTGATTTTCAAATCCCAGCAGCAAGTTGTACCGGTCAGGAGGCGGTTGATTTTATTATTTTAAATTAAAGATATAGTCATATAGATTGTAAGCAAAGTTGAATAAATTTCAACAAAAACTTATAAACTTTTGAATTTTTCGATTGAGTTTTGATAATCTGACGCAAAATCGACGTGACTCGTATTTAGCGATTTTCAAAGCCCATCAGCAAGTTGTTCCGGTCAAGAGGCGGTTGATTATATTATTTTAAATTAAAGATATAGTTATATAGATTGTAAGCAAAGTTGAATAAATTTCAACAAAAACTTATAAACTTTTGAATTTTTCGATTGAGTTTTGATAATCTGACGCAAAATTGGCGTGACTCGTATTTAGCGATTTTCAAAGCCCATCAGCATGTTGTTCCGGTCAAGAGGCGGTTGATTTTATTATTTTAAATTAAAGATATAGTCATATAGATTGTAAGCAAAGTTGAATAAATTTCAACAAAAAATTATAAACTTTTGAATTTTTCGATTGAGTTTTGATAATCTGACGCAAAATTGACGTAACTCGTATTTAGCGATTTTGGTGATTTTCAAAGCCCATCAGCATGTTGTTCCGGTCAAGAGGCGGTTGATTTTATTATTTTAAATTAAAGATATAGTCATATAGATTGTAAGCAAAATCGAATGAATTTCAACAAAAACTTATAAACTTTTGAATTTTTCGATTGAGTTAATCTGACGCAAAATTGACGTAACTCGTATTTAGCGATTTTGGTGATTTTCAAATCCCAGCAGCAAGTTGTTCCGGTCAGGAGGCGGTTGATTTTATTATTTTAAATTAAAGATATAGTCATATAGATTGTAAGCAAAGTTGAATAAATTTCAACAAAAACATATAAACTTTTGAATTTTTCGATTGAGTTTTGATAATCTGACGCAAAATTGACGTGACTCGTATTTAGCGATTTTCAAAGCCCATCAGCAAGTTGTTCCGGTCAAGAGGCGGTTGATTTTATTATTTTAAATCAAAGATATAGTCATATAGATTGTAAGCAAAGTTGATAAAATTTCAACAAAAACTTATAAACTTTTGAATTTTTCGATTGAGTTTTGATAATCTGACGCAAAATTGACGTAACTCGTATTTAGCGATTTTGGTGATTTTCAAAGCCCATCAGCATGTTGTTCCGGTCAAGAGGCGGTTGATTTTATTATTTTAAATTAAAGATATAGTCATATAGATTGTAAGCAAATCCGAATGAATTACAACAAAAACTTATAAACTTTTGAATTTTTCGATTGAGTTAATCTGACGCAAAATTGACTTAACTCGTATTTAGCGATTTTGGTGATTTTCAAAGCCCAGCAGCAAGTTGTTCCGGTCAAGAGGCGGTTGATTATATTATTTTAAATTAAAGATATAGTCATATAGATTGTAAGCAAAGTTGAATAAATTTCAACAAAAACTTATAAACTTTTGAATTTTTCGATTGAGTTTTGATAATCTGACGCAATCGAAATTCAATCGAAAAATTCAAAAGTTTATAAGGTTTTTGTTGAAATTCATTCGACTTTGCTTACAATCTATATGACTAGATCTTTAATTTAAAACAATAAAATCAACCGCCTCTTGATCGGACACAATGCTGCTGGGCTTTGAAAATCACCAAAATCGCTAAATACGAGTTACGTCAATTTTGCGTCAGATTATCAGAACTCAATCGAAAAATTCAAAAGTTTATAAGTTTTTGTTGAAAATCATTCGACTTTGCTTACAATCTATATGACTATATCTTTAATTTAAAAATAATAAAATCAACCGCCTCTTGACCAGAACAACTTGCTGCTGGGCTTTGAAAATCACCAAAATCGCTAAATACGAGTTACGTCAATTTTGCGTCAGATTAACTCAATCGAAAAATTCAAAAGTTTATAAGTTTTTGTTGAAATTCATTCGATTTTGCTTACAATTTATATGACTATATCTTTAATTTAAAATAATAAAATCAACCGCCTCTTGACCGGAACAACATGCTGATGGGCTTTGAAAATCACCAAAATCGCTAAATACGAGTTACGTCAATTTTGCGTCAGATTATCAAAACTCAATCGAAAAATTCAAAAGTTTATAAGTTTTTGTTGAAATTCATTCGACTTTGCTTACAATCTATATGACTATATCTTTAATTTAAAATAATAAAATCAACCGCCTCTTGACCGGAACAACATGCTGATGGGCTTTGAAAATCACCAAAATCGCTAAATACGAGTTACGTCAATTTTGCGTCAGATTATCAAAACTCAATCGAAAAATTCAAAAGTTTATAAGTTTTTGTTGAAATTCATTCGACTTTGCTTACAATCTATATGACTATATCTTTAATTTAAAATAATAAAATCAACCGCCTCTTGACCGGAACAACATGCTGATGGGCTTTGAAAATCACCAAAATCGCTAAATACGAGTTACGTCAATTTTGCGTCAGATTATCAAAACTCAATCGAAAAATTCAAAAGTTTATAAGTTTTTGTTGAAATTCATTCGACTTTGCTTACAATCTATATGACTATATCTTTAATTTAAAATAATAAAATCAACCGCCTCTTGACCGGAACAACATGCTGATGGGCTTTGAAAATCGCTAAATACGAGTCACGTCAATTTTGCGTCAGAATATCAAAACTCAATCGAAAAATTCAAAAGTTTATAAGTTTTTGTTGAAATACATTCGACTTTGCTTACAATCTATATGACTATATTTTTAATTTAAAATAAAAAAATCAACCACCTCTTGACCGGAACAACTTGCTGCTGGGCTTTGAAAATCACCAAAATCGCTAAATACGAGTTACGTCAATTTTGCGTCAGATTATCAAAACTCAATCGAAAAATTCAAACGTTTATAAGTTTTTGTTGAAATTCATTCGACTTTGCTTACAATCTATATGAATATATCTTTAATTTAAAATAATAAAATCAACCGCCTCTTGACCGGAACAACATGCTGATGGGCTTTGAAAATCACCAAAATCGCTAAATACGAGTTACGTCAATTTTGCGTCAGATTATCAAAAATCAATCGAAAAATTCAAAAGTTTATAAGTTTTTGTTGAAATTTATTCAACTTTGCTTACAATCTATATGACTATATCTTTAATTTAAAATAATAAAATCAACCGCCTCTTGACCGGAACAACTTGCTGATGGGCTTTGAAAATCGCTAAATACGAGTCACGTCAATTTTGCGTCAGATTATCAAAACTCAATCGAAAAATTCAAAAGTTTATAAGTTTTTGTTGAAATTCATTCGACTTTGCTTACAATCTATATGAATATATCTTTAATTTAAAATAATAAAATCAACCACCTCTTGACCGGAACAACTTGCTGCTGGGCTTTGAAAATCACCAAAATCGCTAAATACGAGTTACGTCAATTTTGTGTAAGATCATTAAAACTTAATCGAAAAATTTATAGATTCTTGTTGAAATTCATTTGACTTTGCTTACAATCTATATGACTATATCTTTAATTTAAAATAATAAAATCAACCGCCTCTTGGCCGGTACAACATGCTGATGGGCTTTGAAAATAACCAAAATCGTCATATGCGTGTTACGTCAATTTTGCGTCAGAATACCAAAATTCAATTGAAAAATTGACATAATTTTAAGTTTTTGATGGAAATCCATTTATCTTTCATTTGAAATTTTAAAACCGTCCGTTCTGCGTTTCTTTGCTTCCTTTAATCCGGCATGTCTTTTTTTATGCTTGTCTACCATATTTTAACAAGACAAATCATTGGGAACATTCAATTTTACGCGTGGGTATTTTCTGCAATTCTGTCAGTCTCAATTTCGTGTTTTGCTGCTAGCTTCCCAGAGGTCTTCTCGCCCTATTCAGTAAGTAGTAAGACCCCATTTCAAATGCAAGTATGGGTTTGAATATTTTGCGCAACAGAAAATCATCATAGTAAAAAGTCGAAACTCTTAACTATCACTAAAAAGGTAAGAATGTCCAGAAAATCTTCTATTGAAGATATGAAATCTAACCCGGACAAGGGACTGGAAAATTCATCAAAGGCAATTTTTCAAGCATTAAACCCTCATGGTAAACAAAAGCTGGAATTGAATGAAGCACTGGAACATTTGAAGATCAGGGAAAAGGGTGAGGATAGGCTTATAACTATAGTCTATGACAACGTTGAATATATCATAATTTTTTATAGTACCGGTACCTTACTGCTGTACTGTTGTACCAGTATTGCCTAACTTGTAATCCAGTAATCGCAGAGAATATCACATTACTGGAATATTCAGCTATAGTATTTCCGTAGTTTATTTAACAGTTTAATAACAGAATGGGTGGGTTTAATGTAGATTTGTAGTCTACCTATTGACCTAACAGCTTAAAGTACCGGTAGTCTAGTGGGCGTAGCTACTATACCGTGCTAGAACTGTAGAAGGTCGTTAGGTATGAAACTATGTGAGACCCCATAGGCTTGATGGAAGAATAGGCGTCTTTTGTAACCCACCATACATACTTACTGTACTTAAGCAAACTACAAATCGCGCCGGTGTGGCTCAACCGGCTAAGCGTCAGGAATACGCTCGCCACCGCACCTCTAATTACTCTGCGTGGGTTCGCAGGTTCGAACCCATGCAGGGATGGTTATGTGCGAGAGGATTGCTGGACTCCTCGCCGTCGTTGGGTGGTTCACGTAAACGCTGGTCGGTTACGGCTTCCTCCGCCACCAAGTCCATGCCTCCGAAAACAGACAATATAACTAATCCCATACCCGACTTGGAATGGTAACCGGACGAGAGGCCGTGGTTCGCCATATGGATAAGCCGTCTTATCGGCTTTCCTCTCCCCCCGGATAAATATGTAAATCCCAAATCGCCAACTGCATGTCTGTAAGTTACCTAAAAAGAAGTTGTCAAGCTATAATAAAAAGATATTGATTTAAAACATGGCTCGCAGTCCTGGGTACAGGAGTAACCATATCTCTTAACCATCTTCAATCTTTCTTTCTATCTTTTTGTGTTTAAACACTTTCTAGTGTTTTGAGTTTTTTTTATTGGTTGGATATTTGATCATCAATGATTTTGAGGCCACAATTCCGCAATTAGTAAACTAGATTTTTGTTTTAGTAATTCCATTATTATAGTCCAAGTTCATTCAATTTAATTATAATACGGTATATTGTCAGTTTATTCTGGTTAGTCATTTCCCAATGATTTCCTATTTGGAGTTTTTTTCACCAATGTGATGCTTTTATGGCAAATCTAAATTGCCAAATAAAGTTTATAGACTATACAGCTAAACCGCACAGTGAGTAATAATAAAAACATAGAAATAACATATTGAACACTGACAATATGAAATATGATAATAAATATGTTAATTAGGTAACCAACATATTTTTAGATGCTATCAATCCAGCAGGAAGCAGGCCTATACAGAAAGATGTGGAAAAAGTTATCAGTAAATTGTTTCGGTTAGTAGAAAATTAATAATGATTAACAGGATTATAATGCTTGCAGCGGTTTTGCTGTCAAGACTAAATTTTCAGACTGTCAAAATACAACCTTGTTTTCTTTTTATCTCGAAACGGTTACCATCATCCACGGCTAAATAATAGTCAATGATCCATTAATGTTTGCAATAGGACATGCAAAATATTCACCGGTCGACGTCTGACAAAGGAAGGCCAATTACAACTATGAAATTTATTCAACACAACAGCATTTTCCTATGAATGACACAATTTTTAGTTCTTCATAGCCTACCTCACAATATCTCGAATTGCACTTTTTACATACTAATTTAATTTCACCCTCCCCCCCCCCATCCTGTTGAAAAAATCTTGGCTGTCTGCTTGGACCTTTCTCTGTATTGGTTTTAGGATTCAACTGTAGCTCTGTATAGTGAAATGATGATGCGTGTCACAATATTAGTTCTGCTTCATGGTATATTATTAAAATAGTATTCAATATACTTGAGTTTTTATGAAATGTAAAGATTATTGATCTATCCATCCCAAGTATTTATTTATAATTAGAATTCAAGTTATCACATGTAACTGTTTTCACGCTCATGCCAAAAAACTTTGTTTCTTTGATCAATACTTATACAAACAATACAAATAAAAGTTTCACTCTTTATCTAAGGTTTGTGCTAACATTTGTTGCCTAGTCCAAAACTGCAGCACAGAAGTGTTGAAAACTAGTAAGCGATTACTATCTAATACAAAACCTTAATAGCATCCATGATAATATTGCATATACGTGATTGTTCAATGTTGTTTTATTTAGATTAATTCTATATAAACTTTAGAAAGAAAAATGGAAAAGCAATCAAAGAAAGTGACATGGAAAAACTTAACCAAAGGTTTATGGAAGGTCATGTTCCGAGGCTGAAAAAGGATTCTCGTAGTGTGGTTGAAAAAGATGATGATGATGATGATGACAGTGATGAAGAGGATTCTCATGAAAAAAAGATGACTCACCGTGAAGGATATTTGAATATGGTATTTTTTATATGCCACTTGTTCATGTTGTTCACTAGAGCGAGGCTCCATAAAACCAGCTACTGATATGCAAGCAAATATTAGTTTTTGGAAAGCTTCAACTATTGTTTTCATCAACATGATTCAAACCCAAACCACGAGAGAAACAAAAAGCTCTTCGTGCCTATCATTGTTAATTATTAAGACTGTCCTACTTTTCAGCAATGCTGGTTTAAAATCCATTTCAATTTCAATAATGGTTCTGAAAACAGCAAGTATAAAAAATTTGGTAGATAATATAGTTCTGCCTAAAGTTATTCAGAGCTACAGATCAATATCATGAAGAACCATCATTTAGGGCAAGTCGATATTCTGAGATTGGCTTATATATTTCCAAACCTAAATATTTGCCGGTGATTTTTATTAGGACCATTTGCAAATTGGGACATCTTCATTTGTATATGTTTGATTTATGGGGATTCCTACCTAAATGAGACTTGCACCTACCTATCTTCATTTACATTTATAGTCACTTAGACTGAGCCGAACCTGGCCCATAGAATTTTCATGCACTAAAGCAATACTCAACCATTTCTCATGTGCACACTAATTCCACAGCGATACTCATCTTGGACACGAACTGGCCTTATCGATTCCTTTTGCTAAATCGTTGTTGTTGACTTTTTTGATGGGACAAAATCGCTATTCTTCGTAAGTAATGGAAGTTGGACAAAAGTAGAAAAATAGTCTACAGCTATATGATTTATTTTTATTTCAAATTTTCTATGAGATCCAATATTTCACCTCAAATTTGCAGTTTTATTTTCATTTATGGGAACACTGTTTTTTTTCCAGTCAAGCATGATATCTTCGGTCACAAGTCACGACCAGGGCTGGGGAGCTGGTTCAAAATCACAGTGGGGCCAGCTCAAACTGTTTCAAAATTAAAATTTTAAATATATAAATCCAACTTAAAACTATAAAAATTATGAGCTGAAAAGGATAGATTTTATTATTTGCATAAAGAATTGAAAATTATAAATCTTTAAAAATAATAAGATGGTGAGGAGCCACTAAAGTTCCTGGTAGCTCCAGCTCCTAACATTGTAATCTTGGTTCCAGCTCCACCAAAATGTCACTGCTCCATGGCTCCGGCTCCCCAGCAGGCCTGGTCACGACTGTTCCTTTTTTCTTTTTGCAAAGTTTGTACTCTGCTCTACTGCTCTACTACATTTGTATCCATGCATTTTCCCTACAACCAATATGTCTTTTTGTTGCAGTTTATTCGACATTCTATAAACAGTGTTCAAAGGATTGAAAAATATGCCAAAAAAGCTGCGTCTAAAGCTGGAAGGTCATGGATGTTGACTCTGCTACCAACTGGTCAAATCCATACTCTCGTCTCGTTCCTTTTATTCAGTTATGTGATGAGATCATCATTTCTGTCGTGGTTCGTTCCACTCGCCATTTTATTCATCTCTTTCTCTGTTATGGTGATCTCATCTGTTCGACTCGTACGAGGTGAATGCTTTTTTTATCATTAATTAGGTCAGTGGTGCCATGATATATTATATGGTAATCTGCGATGTAAGATATTCTACTTTTATCCATAAATCAGCATTCAATATGTCATGTATATAAATTTGTTATTTTACAGGTGTCAAACGGTTTACTGAATTTAAGGCATGGGCAGAATTTCTTGATTCAGTTTCTACTACTCAGTCAGAAGCGATTGATACCGGCCTAGCTGAGGAAAATTATGTTGTGAAACACATGTCACCCTATCTTCACTTTTTGGTTGCCTCTGCATTCTGCGTGATGGCATATGGTACCAGCGACAAGACCTGGGTTTTGAATGCTGAACTGGGTATTCTGTCAACCTTATTTTATGGTTTGATTGTGTACATTTATGCATTCCTTCGAAACAAGACTTCTCTCATAATTGTATCGTGTCAAGTTGTTGGTACCTTTTTTGAAGGTTTTGAGCCTGAGAATGGTAAAGCAGTGTGGGGTTATTTGGTGTCTTTGGATATTCCATTCACTGGAGTTGCGATCAACATCAGCATTTCATCTATTCTACATGTTCTTGTTGTGTTCAAGATGATTCAAATGTGTTTTGATGGTTCACGTATGGATAAAAGTATTAAGGTCCATATGGCTAAAGTTGTTTTTCCCCATATTGTTGCTATTGTGTGGTTGAATATTTCCCACATGTTCTTGTGTTACTCTAGTCTGACGAGCGTCTTCAGGGCAACAGCTGAGTGTTTTGGCCTACTTTTTGCAATGCCTGCATTCACACTGTTCCTTGGTTTTGGAGCTTTGAAGATACTACTATCAATGGATATCTTGAAAATTTTAATTACAATTGTTCTGATAGTCATTCCAACATTGTACTTCAAAGTTTGGGAAAAGAGGGAAGAGTACCTAAGAAAAGCAGGAAAGCTGCTTGAAAACAAAACTGTGAAATTTGTTATAATGAGCTTAGGTTTTGCTTTTCTGGCATACATCGTGCTTTCATATAGACCTTCAGGATTGAAAGTACCCAAATCCCATCTTTCCTGGAGTGATTATAAAAAAGTTTGCTTGGATAGCGATGAAGCTTCAGACGTAGTTGCATGCCATGAGTTCAAAGGTTATGGAGTTACATGGGAAGGAACTGTTGACAAAGTCAGTGTAGTTGACATTGACAACAAAGTCGATAATTTTCTCAATTTGTTGCCAAAGTCAGCTGCCTATTGGATGAGTTGCATTTATGGTGATGATTATCCAAACTCTGAAAAATGTGCAAATACAAAAGATTTGTCTCCTTTGGAACAATCTTTCTGTACCATCTCGCCAATCACAAAAAGACCTTGTCATCTCCAGAGGTACAACATATACAAATTCAGAATTACGATGTCAATGCCTTATGAATATAACTTGAACCTTGATGTCGGACATGATTTTAACGAATTGGTCTGGAATTTGAGAAAGGGGAAGAAGCTCCGCTTCACTGGGATCTTAGAAGCCCGAACCACTTTATCGACAAAAGTCTTATATACAATTTCTGATACTGATGAAATCAAATTCGTTGAGAAACGTCATGCAAAGATTGAAAAAACTATCAACATGATGTTGGATGAAGCATTAAATTCTCTGTACCATTTCCTTTTATATCCTGTTATTAGTTATGAAGATGTTACAATTGATGAAGAGATGTGAAATTGTCATAGTATGAAAAGAAGTTTCAAGGGAACTAGTTGATCAAGCTGAACTTCAACCTCTTTAAGGTCATCTATCTGTATATATATATATATCTTTCTGTGAATTATTGTATTTCAAGAAAATCATCTCCTATATTCATTTTCCCGGTTTGTCATTTCTTTTTATCAATCTTGCACTGCTTTTGATATAAATCAAGTTGTTTTTCATAGTTAGGATACAGTTCTTCAATTACATTTGATATATACATCAGGAAATATATATCTACCTTAATCTGTTATTTTTGTATAAGAATTTTGTATTACAATATTTTCTCCACTTGCCAACATTAGCATATTTGCACAATTGCCATTTCGTCTCTTCATATATTCAAATTTATTGCTTATCACATTTAGTGGCTCTCATCATGATAGAACAATGTGGCAAAAAGAATACCTAAATGTCTCCTATTGTACATATATGCAATGTCATTTTGCTCCTTTTATGCAAGGCATCATAAGGCACTTTTTTCTTGATACATTCAATGGTTTAAATTTGAATGAGATTTTTTATAGATCAATGGGATATTTCAGACAAATAACCATCGTTGAAAAAGGGTTATAATCATTTCAGTTATGTAAAATGTTTTGTCCACTGAAGGAAATTTCTTCCAGGATGTAATATTCAAGTTATACCAACTGTCTATTTTCAAGTGTAATATAATTATATGCATATATATATATATATATATATTTGGCTATTTTATTATTGATGCAATTAATCTAACCCATTTAAGTATAGGTGTATATTGACTCTATAATCGACATGATATACAATGATATAATTAAGAAATAAACAAATAAAAATCAGATACCGATCAGGAATTATAAATTTACTTTGTTGGCAAACTGTCATTGGATTTTGTGTGATGTCAGCTTTTGCATATTCGTCAGTAACCTTTTCATTATTGCACTTGCATGTATAGTAGTACAGTATATCGTTCAATGTAATCAATAGTATATCGTTCAATGTAATCAATAGATATAATAAATATACATGAGCGTATAATCATTGTCTGCAATCTAAAAGGGAACTTTGAAAATGACGTTGCCTGCCTGCCATATTTTTTAAAATCATACTGAAATATGTGCAGGATTGTCGCCAGAATCTTAGGCACAATTTATCACTTATTTCGATATCTCCGACGGAACTGTCGATCTCATCCAAGGCCCATTGGGGTGTAACTACCAAACTCAAGAGAAACGCATCTATTTTTAGGTGATAAGTTAGTTCTCTGTGTACTGTGTGCATATAGGGTTAACTCGCGTCATCGCTATCTGGGCTCCTCAGATCGCCCTGCTTGGACATGATCCGGGATTAGCCGTTGGATGTAACGAAAAGTTAGTATTAGTTTACAAATGAAGTTGTAGGACTGGAAACGTATACTAATTTCTAAACACCTCTGGCAACCTGTCATTCAATTTTTATTCGGTATACTGGGAAAAATATTGTTTGATTTTGGAAAAAGTGTGTGTGTTGAATTTCGTATGTATTTTGCTGTAGGTTAATGTTTGGCGTAAAATGTATACACCGATTATGTCATATTTTAGTAGGGTGCGTTTTGCTATTTATTTAGAAAAAGTCATTACTTCCATGGCGGCGAAGGAACGAGTAAATATAGCATATACCGTATATATATTTGGTTCAATCGCGCTAATAAGTGATTCCCAACTTTTCTACCCTGGCGGACTGGTAATATTAAATAAAATGCACTCGCGGACCAGCAAAAATTAAAAAAGGTGGAACAGAAAATAATAACATATATTTACGTAATATAATGCAATGTCCGGCACTCACTATGGAAAAACTATCAAAAAATGTGCCGGGCGTTGAAATGGGTGGAACATAATATTTGCGTAAAAAAATTCACACAGAAAACATCTTACATAAAAAAACATTTACATGCCAAATCATGTACAAACACAATTAACTCTAGTGAGACTTTTGTAGGGACAATCATATTCAGTGGATTGAGTTTCGGTAATTTGGGCAAAACTAGTATTATTAGTTGTGATTCGGGTTTAACTCAGATTCTTTGAATTGGGACAAAACGAGTTGGTCATAACAATTCTTAATTGTTGTGCGTCATACGGGTCGCAGGCCATTGTCCGGGGACAAAACATATTGTTTTGATCGGACAATCAAGATTAGATCTCTTGCCGTGCTTAATAGTTCATCAACTTAGGGACCCAATTTATTTGTATATATATATTCAAAAAAGAGATAGGAGGGGAGAGTCAAGACCGAGAGGAACAGTATATAATTATTGTGGTCCAAGGTTGACGGCCTCACGGGCCACACTGTTATTTTTGTATTGTTCGCGGGCCACAACAGTGTCAAGAATAGGTAAACAGTGTAATACAAAACAAACACGTTTATTGTCCAAACACGTTCATCATTATTTGTCATTTATCAAGCTGAAACTTGCAAAAACCACCAAAGAACTCATTAAAACGTGAAAAATCTTACTAAATCTACATCTAGTGTAAGACTTTAAACTTTTCATAGCGGAACAGGTGTCATAAAGAGAAATTGCCGTTTCAGACTGTCACCGACACAACTTGCAGAGATATCAAGCAAGCGGTATTTTCCCTCCCATTATCCAGTCAGAAATCTGTTTGAATTGGTCAGCTTTTTTTCAAACCCATGTTTACAGAATAACTTACAAATTGATTGATTGCCGAATTATTATCAAATTTGGGAGGGTTATTACTAAGTTTTCTTACGTATAGGCAGCATTTCTTGTAATTCTGTTTAGGCTGGTTGAAAAAAAAAACGGCAGGAATTGTATTCTTCGGCCATCGCATTACTATTTAGTTATCAGGCATATCCGACCTAGGCTAATAGATTCCTCATTCGATTTTTAGTTTTCTATGGAGCCTATTTTGTTAGCAGATATTCCCGACCAAAAAGATAAAAATCCAATAAACAATTTAGGGTACTCCTGAAGTATGTGCACCAAGATGTCGCACAACCAGAACCCTAACCTGGTACACAACCTGAGTTCAGGTTGTTCGCCATATTGGTGCGCATACTTCAGGAGGCCCCAATTTAGACTAGTCAAGCAGTCCATAAGATACCGTAGAATTGTGACAATCAAGTTGGCAATAAAATAGCAATTGTGTGCTGGTGAATTCTGATATTGTTGTATTCGTTGTTGGGAGTGAAGATCAGGCAACCATAGAAAGAGGGTGCGATAGAGATCGAGCTGATGACTGGGCCGCTCCCATCTGTCTTTAACACAACGTCCAAATATACTATGAGATTGGCTATAGGCCTACTTTGGCTGCTGTTTCGTTTTCAATATGGGATTGTAAACTAGGCTACGAAGAAGTTTCTGCAACACGTAGCTCTGCAGCGGCGTCTAGTCCATTTCTCTGCTTCGTTTTAATCAAAGACAGTGATGAAAAAGTAATTTCGTATGGTTGGAAATATGGACAACAGTTTGATTGCTTGGTTACTTAGCGATGGGTATTCGTTATCAAAGATATACAGAATTGCGGAAGTGATTCTTTTTCAAATTTGAACTGTAAAGAATCACAACTTTAATCATTAGTGACGGTATTACTTGAACTAGAACTTATCAATCTGAAAACATAATACAGCAAAATACTCCAATGAAATGAATAGAACAAAAAGTATATGAATGAAAATAACAAATACACAATGGTATCACAATGCAAGAAAACAATAAATATATATACAATATATATCCAAACCTATCACAAACCATCAACCACAAAATCAAAAAACAAACACACTTGGCATCCCACTCAAGTAGCCTACCAGCAACAACCCAACAGACATAAAAAAGACACCAAAACACCGGAAATCCAACCCAAACAAACACAGGACACCAAAAGACCGACAGCGCCACAGCACTCCCGAACACCGAAACACTAAATCCTGCAGCAAGATCAAACAACGGCTTTTAATAGAAAAAATACGGTTTGTCACATTTGTTCGAATACCTCCCGGAGATACCTTCAATTCCTTCCGCTGCAATTCTATGCTTTGTGAATCGCATTCGATATGGTGAACCGGTTGTGAGCGTTTGTTACGATACGATGTTTCGACATTGATGTCCCCTCGGCTAGGCAGAAATGTCTTGTTTTCTGATTAACAGAATCTATAGTTGGTCTTGCTCATATTTGCTTGAATGTTGGTCTTAGTTGGGGTGGAGAATCTTCAGTTGATCCCGTTTCCCAACTGAAGAATATCCCCCTCACCCAACCCACTTAAGCCGATAATACCAGTTGACCCTTCATTTGACCTGGACTAATTATTTGGTGGGGTTAGGGTTAGATGGTCTCAGTTGGGGTGGAGATTCTACAGTTGGTCTAACTTGGAGTGGAGATTATTCGGTTGATCCACAATTTCATTCTCATTTACCAGAATTCTACAACTGTAAATACAAAAATCGGTACTCCTGAAGTATGTGAACCAAGATGGCGGACACTGGAACGTAGTATGTGTACCAAGTTGATTCCACTTTCTCAATAGCAGCTACATAGACAACTAAATATCAGCCTAGCATATTCCCTGTCGCATTACCGTTTCGTAATCAGCGTAAACAGTAACACTAAAATTGGTGCCTAGTGTCAGAAAATTTAGTAAATATCAATACATTGCCGCTTTATTACCCTGCTGCATCCTACCTCACATTTGTTGCTGCATCCTACCTCACGAGGCCTGGTCACCCTATAAATCCGTTCAGCGAGTACATACAGTACGAAAGATAACAAGCGTTGCGGCCATATTTTAGCCAACTAAACGTTAATCGTTGCAATCATTCAAAGCTGCTCGCGTACCACTTGAAATGCTCCCGCATAGGCTACCAATAGTGGTATGCGTGCCACAGGTTGAGAACCACTGCTGTAGAGCTATTCCCAACAAGACCCACCCGTACCGGAGCACATCGTTCGCATCTAAAGTTCATCATCTTTTCAGTAAACCTTGCTAAGTTGCGTCGGTATTTTGCATAGAATTACAACTATAGGATTTACATATTTATCCCGGGGGAGAGGAAAGCCGATAAGACGACTTATCCATATGGCGAACCGGTTACCATTCCAAGTCGGGTATGGGATTAGTTATATTGTTTGTTTTCGGAAGCATGGACTTGGTGGTGGAGGAAGCCGTAACCGACCAGCGGTTACGTGAAACACCCAACGACGCGAGGAGTCCAGCAATCCTCTCGCACATAACCATCCCTGCATGGGATTCGAACCTGCGAACCCACGCAGAGTAATTAGAGGTGCGGTGGCGAGCATATTCCTAACGCTTAGCCCGTTGAGCCACGCCGCGCCTTTTCGTATTTTCAACAGCTTTCATGTGTTCTTTGGTTATGCGAAGAGCACGTGAACCAGGGTCGGACAGTGGAGTATTGTACATCATAATTGTCATATCTTGCCTTCCCATAATGCTGGAAATCTTCAAAAAAAAAAAACGGATTTTATTTTACAGCCGACTTGATAACATATCTGCAATAAACTACAAGCATTTTCATCTTTGTTCTGCGACATTGACCTTAATCATAAAATATAGCAATTTGACTTCTCTTAGCAACACAGTAGTAAAGCAAATGTCTGACACTGAATGAACATAGCAGTCTGCCTGGATAGATTTTAATTCATGGTACTTTATAATTCATCAACTTGAAAACTAGACCAAAAGAATATTATATTCGATAACAATGCGACAATCATAAGTCACTTAACCAAACAACATATGATGGAAAAAAATTGCCTATTTTAGAAAAAAACATATTACAAAAAATCCGATGTGGGAATATTGAAGTCGAGTATGAACAAATAGCATACCAAAACAAAGAAAAAAAAGCAGTCTTGGGATGCGCGGCTAGGTATAATAAAGGGCAGCACACACTAAAGACTTCAGTATTACACGACAAGGCAGCATTCATTTTGAAATAATTTTCGAGGGAATAGAGGTCTTGCTTCCCACTCACTTTAAATCTGAAAGACTTAGAGAACATAAACATAATAATACAGCAATGAAGATTTGCTAAAAAAAAGTAACATGGTAAAGCCTTTAGTATGTTTCTGAACAAGAACTTCGGCACATATATTTTATAGCACCATCGACTATCAGATACATTTATATTTTACTGTGAGCAAATAATATAAATCCGGTCAAATCCTGATACACGAAGCATGCACGGATTCAAGTTAAATATTCCAGTATTCAAGATATGGTAAGGACATATTTTGGAGATCAAGTACTTCAAATAAGAGATTTAAAAATAATCACGATTAGACTTGCAAGACTACAGAACATTTCCGAGTAGGTTGAGTGTTGTATCGGTTTTGAAAGAAAAAGGGAACTACCGGTAGTTACTTGAAGTGTGATTCGATTTTACACTGACAAACATGCACCGAAATTATTTCAAAATCAAGTCGCATCATTTAATTTTTGGGCTGATACATCAAAATGTTTTAAAATCAAAATAATAAACCAAATCGCAGACTAGTTTAGAATTAAAAAACCGAAGCTATATGTGTAGAATTATAAATTGTGCAGCTGCAGTATAAATGACAAATATATTCTTATTTGATTAGAACACTAAACAGTAATCTCCGCAACATGTTGTATTTTTTAAGGAAATAGAATAATATAATTTTCTATTCCTCGTGTTTTTGCTTTCAATCTGCTGAACGAAGCGCAAAAAATTATTAAAGGGTTAAATAAACAGAAACGACTTGGTGATACATCTAAAACAAAAGAATTGCAACAACAACAATCAAAGTTTACTGCATCCCCACATCAATATATTCACATCAAAATTAGCAACCTATAACTTTGTATAATGCATTCATTAGCATTATTAACTTGTGATAATAGAAAAGATTCGTTTTAAAATGATTTTACTCAATTTAAGTTATGCCTTGAATACTCCAGTAACTAGAAAATTCAGTGATATAAAAACCAAATGGGACTTATTTTATTTCTAACATATTCAATCAAATGGTCTAAGCAATCAGAAGAACATGTTAAATATCCATTGTCACAACATCAGATAGCACAGTATCATAGTGAAATCATTTTGTCTGAGCAAGCCTTAATCCTGCTAATTATCATGATCGACCAACTTGACATTTATTATCTATTTCAAATGAATAATCCAATTTGATTTCTGTGCATAATCAGCAACTTCAGAGTCAATTTTTGTGGCCCAAATCACAGTTCCTAACAAATTCATGTTGATATGATTTTAACAAAACACAGCTCAACCTTACAATTCTGCCAAATATTAGATATAGGACGGAGGTGGAACACCTCCGTATAATAGGAGATAGATTGTCATCTTCTTTGGACAACACTAGTACAACATTATCTCAACAGATTCATTAGGTGATTTTATTCAATATGTGGATACAGGAATATACCAAACACATTACACAATGAGCCTGAGAAAATGTAAGTATTACTTTCACATACTACAGATAGATTCCCTTCAAGTGACAATTTATCAACAAATATTTTACAATAGCAGCTCGAAAAACTTCATTCTGGATAACAAAAATAAACAGATATTTCAAACATACTTCAACTGAATATTGCTAATAGCAACCATACCATACATTAATTACCAACTGAATTGAATTTGTTTGCTTACTTACAGCTGCAAAAACCTAGGCAAATCATGCTATATTTTATCATAGGGGAGTTAACATGTTACGGATGGTCAGGCAACTGCTTGGTTTATAATGTTATCACTACTACATTTCCTCCTCCAGTAATATTTGATAAAAAAAACATTTTATAACATGGAGATAACTGCTTACTTTGAGCTATATATATATATTGAAAATAAATATTATTGCTGCCAAGTGAAACAAAAATATGCTGTGTGAAGTCTGTGAAGAACTGCTCAGCCATTTGTTTATGGTAAAATTCATGATATTCTGAATCAAATAATCTACAAAACACTGAAATCCCCATATAATTTGATCAACACTAACAGCAAAACAATTACAAAGACAATTTTCTAAAAAAAAACTGCACCTAGTAATATTTATATTTTATTTGAAAGCCTTCAGGTTCAGACTGATATTTACAGCAATTATCTTATAAAAAATCAATCAGTATCTAAAAGATCTCAATTTGTGTCTAATTGATGTAATAAGCATTCCTTTCTAAACCCTTCATCCAGCTATCGAATATTTCAATCATCTTGTTATAATATAAAAAAAGATTTTATATCAATGAGACACTATTTCTGTGGTGAGTGAATTGCAGATTTTTACTTGAACTTAATTAAACTGCCAATGAGTGTATGGCATACAGATAACTGCACTGTTGGACCAAATTTATTTTTGGTTTGGTTTGGAAAAGGGAATCTGTAAATTACACTCTCTATCACTCAATGTTCACTTACAGTGAACTTTCCTCATTGTGGCGTCAGCTCAATATTTTGTTCGCCTATCCTAGCGTTCGTGAGGTGACGTTTAAACTTATTGCCTTATGTGACTGTTTGGCGTCATACTTTTCCCGCTCCAACGCCGCAGTTGTCAAAAATGTAAAGATTGTTGGTCGCAGCAACCGCGATCACACTGTCATGTGGATGCCAGGCAGTGTGCAAAATTTTTCGTGTGAAATCGAGAGAATCTACACTGATTTCATCTTTCTTCCGTTTTCCACCCTGGGTTATCTGAAAACATAACATGAAAGTGACTACTGTGACTACAAATTTACACAGCTAAATATAAAAGTTACAAAGCAATTTTAATTTGAGCAGTAAATAGTTACAATAGTACTCTATACAGGAGTTCCAAACTAGGGTACATGTACCACCAGGGGTACATTTCAACTTTTCGAGGGATAGATTAGATTAAGTAATAGGATATTCTTTCGATAACTTCTAAGTTCTAATCTGCTTTAAAATATTTTTTATCCCGATGTTATTAATTTGAGTATAAGAACCCCTTGAGATGTCACATTTTCACCCCATCAAAAGTAACAGCAACTACCAAGTGTATGTACTTTGTGAAAAATAATTGGGAAATGATTCTATGAAACCACTTGCTCACCCAGCGTTTGGAGAGATCGGAATTAAAAAAAAAGATGCTACGAAGTTTCTCTCATGATTGCGAAGCAAAAAATCATAGTTCATTGGGGAAAACCTGATCTGGTCCTACCGGCTACCCTTTTTATTTTAAGGATTTGAAATTTATGCAAAAATTAGCTGGCAAATAAGAGCATTTTTACAAACAATACCAGCTTGGCAGGGAATAAAAATGAAGGTAGTAATACCTTCTTTGGCTTCAGAAGAGCCCTCTGCTTGCTATTTTCTCTTGATGCTTCTAAAGTTACATCCTTCTTTGAATTGCAGTCGAATACACGGAAAAAATTGTTATATGAACCAGTCATAATAGCACTGAAAAATTAATTGGTTACAGATTCTTACTTTTACAATTATCCAAGAGACATTATCAAATTTACAAATGTAATGCAAAAACACTTCAGTGATCTGAATGTTTCATTACAATGAGTAAGTCAATTAGGATTTTCAAGAACGAGATTAATTTTCTTATCAAGCATTTCATCTTGCTATAAATAAAGATAATATAGATGGCTTCAAAACTCAAATCAAGTTCAATTTGTTTATAATAGGTTGTCCAAAAAATCATTTAATGTTCATTCTTACAACAGTAAAAGGGCTTATGTTTTTCTTTCAAGAGTGGATTTGTAGAATATGCAAACAGTAGTCTATAGATAAGGTATGATTGTAAGATAATATAGTCAATTTATGTTCCATCATTAAATTGAATATAGAGAAAATAAAAATTACCTAAATATGAGTAAGTTGAGTGGATTTGATGCTTTTATGACTTTAATTGTTGTTGTTAAAAGTTGTTAAAGAGTCGAGGGTGAAATGAATATGCTAGTGAGAAACTGTGGTTTCTAATCAACACATATACAAATTTACAGTAAATCAGATATCCAGCCCATTCAAAAATATTTTAATGTATAGCAGATGTTTAAAAACAATACCTCTGATAGTCTCATGACATTTTTCTTAAAAAAACTCTTTCCAGCATTTTAAGATTATTAGGTACATAAAAATATTTAGGGATAAAATAAAAATATGAATTGTATGACAAAAATAACACAGATACATACTTGTCAGCACCATTCCAACAGCATTCAAACTTGTCAAAAATACAGTCATTTTCATATAGAGAGCAGAGTTTACTACGAAGATATTCATGAACCTAGAACAAACAGAAAAGGTTTCATATAAAAAACTGAAAACACATATCGACAATCATTATTAGTAAGTAACTGGAACAGGTGTGGGCAAGGTTTTTGGACGGACCATGTAAGTGTGACATAAAAAGTTACACTTTATGAACACTATTCACAGTGTCACAAAAGCCAAACTAAATTTAATCGAAACACACTCCTTGAGCTATTTCTTAGCTAAAACATCAAAATGATGTTTTAAAGCAGGGGTTCTCAACCTTTTTTCTGTCAAGTACACCCTGAGTCACAGAAAAATCAACGAGAACCCCCGGTAATCAGACACTTAACAAAGTTGTGATATGGGCCTACTGATATATTGTCTAACAAAGTGTTGCAACACCAATTTATTGACCATATGTAACTAAATTAAATCGTCTTGTTGATATTATTGCCCTTGTCGCCTGCCTTACTAATGAATTCTTGAAATCTCTCCCAAGTTTCAATAAGCATAATCACTTCTCCAATGCTCGCAGCGCGCTGTCTTTAGAGATTTTACAGTTTGTATGCAAAGCCACGAATTTCACATTGTTGCGTCACAATTACAACAACGCAAGATCAGGAAAAATCTATGTTTCAATTGGCATCTAGTTTCAATGTGCACACAATTTCCCATGGTAGTAATGAAGGATATTAAAAATCAGCAACAAACAATAACTCGACTGTCATCCAAGTACCCCTGGAAATTTTCTCGTGAACCCTAGGTTGAGAACCCCTGTTTCAAAGCATCAGGCGGGCCCGATTGAATTACCCAACTGGCAGGATTAGGCGCCCAGGCTGTAGTTTGTCCATGTCAGGATTAGGATGTTCAAATTTTGAAAGTTCTAGGTGATATTGGTAGTTGAATATTAAATAAAAATTATCCGACCTAACTGACACTTAATTAATATTTAGTGCAAATGTAAAAAATAATTAAACTGTAATATGACACTCTTAGTTCATGTAAAAGAAAAAAAAAATTTAGGTATAAATACTTTAAACCTATGAATTTTCAGCATAAACTCTTTAAATACACATTTCATATGGTAATAACAAGAAAACTAAAAGTTACTGAACAGTCTTTGTTCTGGTTCAGTACTGTAATCTCTCGCGTACTGCTTTTGTACTGCTTACATGCGGATATTCATGACAGCAATGTTTTGCTAACAGCTAACCTCAGGATAGTTGTCAAGAAATCTTGTATATTTGTTTTGCTATTATGTTCGTGATCTATATTTTTCGATATAGAATTTAAGTCTTCAGAATTGTAGAATTTATATTGTTGAATAAATTCCCCTACTTTTGTGAATTTATTGTATTGCATTGACATAAATATTTGTCTGGCGTGTTTTCAACACAGTTTGAGTCATACCTGGCCCGCGGTCAAAAAAGTTTGGCGACCCCTGTTCTAGTTAAGCAGAAATCAAGCATGATCAGAAAACATTTTCTACGGGCAATGAATTGATTCTTTAATAATTTATGATGTCGTTGCTGCATATAGTGTTGTATTTTGGGTGAGACAACTAAATATGTCAAAATCATCAACCTAAAGCTACAAACAATGGAACTGAAGCATTTGTTACAGTTTATAAAACATACAAGCAAATTTGTTGAAACGTTTAATTAATTTAGCAAGACTTTATTAATCTGCAGACACAGGGATAGGAAGAAAGATAATAAAAAGGGTAAGAATATAATGTTGTAATACTTTATTGACTAACAATGAAATCATCCATGTGGTATGATGTAGAATCCTGAGAAAATGTGCTAATATTTTAAAGGAAAATTTTAGAATTAATTGATGCCATCCTTCATTCATGTTTACGCAACATCACTCACTTGATAAGACTCAACCGGTTTGCTTTCCATGTTCAAATCCCAAACTTTAACAGAGAGGTAGTCGCGGGTGATCATATACCGACCATTGTGACTGAATTTTACGTCACTGATCGAAGAGATGATTTCAGAGAAGAAAGATCGATTGTTTGGATCCTCTGGTTCTTCAAAAACTACAAATAAACAAACGTGTTTAGTTTAAGACCAATATTTCTTATCAAACAATCCAAATTAATAAAAATAATGAAATTGTTTTGCTTAAACCAAAAATTTTACTTGAATTGCACTATTAGTGACAGTTTCTACCATAATTTGATTACCTTGAAGCTAGATGTTGGTTATTTATAATAATTTACTATTCTAGATCACATCTAGCGTTCTGGTCAGAGCTGATTTTTTGTTTTTGTTTTCAGATAACTGTTATTAATAAATACAGCATGTGTGGATGCTGTATTCTTAGCATCATTGTAAGTAACAATTACTGCAATTAACTGGGTCAAGATTTACCCTAGTGAAATTCCCACCTATCCCAATAAGAAAACTTGATTGATAATTAGTGAAATCCTAACTGGGAAAGTTTAAAAAAATCTTTCCAATTACACTCCTGACAAATATAACAATGGCATACATGTTGAACACAATCAGTGTCTAAACTTTGCAACATAGAAACTTTCTTTCGTGGTTACGAATTGTTATGAATGATTGTGTAAGTGCTTCACAATCAAAGACAAGCATGAAAGAAAAAAAGAGAGAAATCATGTACAATAGTATAGACCAGGGATGGCGAACCGCTGACCCGCGGGTCACAAAGTGACCCACCGCGTTTTATTTGTGACCCGCCAAGCGAGGGCACGAATAAAATGAAATGCTAACATATCAGTGATAAAAATTGATAAAACCGGCCTTAAATTAATCTAACAATAACTAAACTATTATAATGTACAGTCAGGGAGGGCTGCGATCGCTCATGTTCAAAATGTTGATTTTCGGGCCGGTATGGTAATTTTTAAAACCCCTAATCTTGTACGCATGTATGCACCGCTGGCGGCTCCTGAAGTATGCGAACCAAGATGGCGGACATCGGAATGTAATATGTGTACTAGGTTAGGGTTAGGCCATAATTTTAGGTACAAATACTACGAGAGGCACTTGGCTAGTCTTCGAACTCATAGTAGGACTGAAATAAGGGAAATTGGAATAAAATTAAGGCCTAACCCTAACCTGTTACCCATGCTACGTTTCGATGTCCGCCATCTTGGTTCGCATACTTCAGGAGCACCCACCGCTGTGTACCGTTATTCAGCTATTGGGCCTGACATCGTTTATAACATAACAATGCAATTGATCTGTTCAATTCTCGCAACGCCTATCATAAAACCGAGTGCCATGAAAAGTCCCTGATAGAAGTCTGAATAAGTAAAGCCCAAAACTACACCAACACCAGCTTATAAGATTTGTTTCAGAAGTTTCTTATAGATACAAACGTGAATTAAATATCTGTGACTCACTCTCTTCTGTTCCGCGATAAAATTATAATTTTTGACCCATTCATTGAAAAAGGTTCGCCATCCCTGGTATAGACATGTGTTCAATCAATAAATTGTGTTCTTATAATAAAAAGTTATAATATAATGCAGCAAGGGATCATATTATAACTGGATTCTTTTGGATTTAAAAAGGTGGAAAATCTAAATTTTTCATTCCCACTTTCAGTAGCAGTCCCTCGACACTGAGCTTGAAAACCAAGCTTTGAAATTTTTAAAAAGGTAACAATCTCTAATTTCAAACCAAACCAAATTGTATGATAAACAGCTGATTATCAAATAACAGCAAGGGCTGGGGAGTTGGTTTGAATCACAGTGGCTCGGGCTCCGAAGCCACAGTATATTTAATTCTGCTTCAGCTTCTTTTATTATGTGAGACTTGGGCCCCAACTCTGACTCCATACCCATTGAGGTTTTTAAGTATGACTGCTATCATGAAATATCTTCCCAAATGCAGTTCCATCGGAACTGGACTCAAAACCACGATATAAGGGTTTTCTATTTCAGAACGAGAGTTTCAATTATATAAATTCAACTTCGAACTTAATATCATAAATTAAAATTTATGAGCTGAAAAGGATGAGTTTTATTATCTGTACGAAGTACAAGAAAATTATAATGTTAAAAAATATTTAGATGGTTAGGAAATGGAGTCACTAAGATAGGCTCGTAGTCGTAACTATACAAATATTTAAAATTTATTTTTTTTTCGGCCCATAATTTTCAATTTATGATATTAAGTTTCGAGTTGAATTTATATATTTAGGACTCGATTTTGAAACTTGAAACCTTTACATCATAGTTTTGAGTCCCAAAATGTCACAACACCATATCTCCAGCTCGCCCTGATTCATAGCAAACTTAGTGATAAATCTATATTACAAGTACAAAAGGTGAAACAAGACATCAAAATCTTACTTTTAGCATGTTGATCACAAAGGGCAGCTTGGCGCATGTCGCAGAGTCTAATGGTCCCCTTGCTGCTGCTGTACACAAATGTATTACAGTGGTTAGGATGATATTCGGCTGCTGTTATAACCTCTGTTAAATCTTCCATATTTGCCGGCTTGATGTCAACAATGTCTGAAACAGAGTCAAAAACTTGAATTACAGATATGAATTAGAAACGTTCAATTTTAAGCTTTGTTCATTCTGAAGCTAAAACACCTAGCATCGCTCCTTGCTTTCTTCCCAAAAACAGCCTAATCTTGCAAACAATGCACAATTCAATAGTTAAAACAGCAACCAGCCTTTTCAAGAATGCTCAGTCACGATTTGTTTTTTTCTCCAAAATATTAGGTTTCTAAGCTAAAAACTCACTGATGAAAATTTTCTCCAGAAAATGATATAACGAGAATATCGGTCAGAGACCTAAGACTTGTCAATCGGAAGTTAGGGGATCCCCCAAAACAGCGCTCTTACTCCATAGTGACACCTTGTGTCCCATCACTAATTAATAACTCATTAATTATACGACATAATTCATCCAAAATCAATAGGCTTCTGGTCCGAGATATGATGAATGCACATGCAAAATTTGGAGCAGATTCAACTTTGCTTTCGTGAGATATCGCATGCATCTAGCAGACAAACAAACAAACGGACAAATACCTATCAACATACTCATTGATAAAGATCGATAAGTAATAAAGTTAATAAAATTAGTCCTTCAGTACCTGTCAATAAAAGTATTGGACAAGCAATATACAAAAGTTCAACAACATGGACTTACTAAAGCTTCTGTCCGTTATTTCAAGATGCCATAGATTGACTCTGAGATCATCTGCAGAGAGATAAGTCTCATTGTCGCTGTTGACAGAGATTGAGTTGATGTGATATGTATGAGCATTCGAAAATACTTTCTTTGGTGATGCTTCTATCATCAGTTCCATAGGTTGATACCGAGGGACAACGAGCTGATCAAATCGTCGAGGTCGGCCGTCCTCTTCTCTCAAGTTATATCCAAAAGCTTGTTTCTCTCGTTCAGAAACTTTCCACAGCTTAATTGTTTTATCTAAGAGACAAAGACAGCAAGGTAAATGAATAACAAAATGATTAAATTTAAAAAAACTATCCGCACAAACAATCCTAAAATGCTGAATATTATTATTCAATAGGTAGGCTACTTTTTTAAAATAATACATTTTTGATTATCTGATTTGAAATGGAATGTAGGTATATGGCATACCACGTCCGTGATAAGTCGACATTCAGACAAATCAAATTTGTTAATGAAGACCAAGTTTGGCCAACCAAGAATCCAAGGATCACAAAGCACCGGGTTATTTTTTTCAGTAATCCACCAAATCACGAATTACTACTAAAGTAGTTACAGTATACAGCAGACTATGTAGCCTCTCGTACAATGATGAAACGATACAACTGAGATGATGTTGACATGTTGTCAATGTTTTTTTTGTGTATTCATATCAATCAATATTTTCGCATATACCAAATCAAGCACTTGGAATTGCCTCAATCCTGGTAGACCTCAAGTGAGTGAATCTCAACCTATACAACATCAATCTAGTATTATGAGAATTGCGGGAAAGATGCAACACAACAGAGTTTCTCAATTATGCAGACTTTGATGTAATCCAATTTAGGACCCACATTTTTGTTTGATGATAAAAATATACTATGTAAACTAAAGGTGCTTACAAACCAAAAATATGTTCAAAATTAGACGAAACAATCAAAAATGACGCTTCATTATATTTATTTGTTTTCTATACTACCATTCATCAATTCTAGTTTATGAAGTCGTAAATAATATATTTTCAACATCACAATTACAAACAGTGAGAATCCCACCCACTTAGACATGACATCAGATAAAAAACTAGTCAAGATAGAAATTATTAGAGCTGAGCACAATAACTCTATTATGATGAAGTTATTCTATATAAATAATGACAATGAAATGGAGCATGACTCACAAAGTTAGGTCAAAGTAATTAGGCATACAGAAAGTAAAATTTTAACGCATATTTTGCTTAGAGAAGGCAAATTTTAAAATATCGGTAGCAATATTCGAAATGATCGTAACAGCATGCAAAACTTTTCATTCTAATGTAGGTTTAATATTAATAGAAGGTAAAGCCAAAATACATTCTACGTTGTTATCAGATATATATTTATAAATACCAATCGCTATTTCTGTATTGAAATTAATTAATGAAGGAATGGAAATCATTAAAAAGAATGGAAATTAAATTCAGAATGGCAGGTCCTCAATTTTTTTCCAGTGACCTTTGACTAAATACTACTTAGGTCAGTCTGAAACTCTCACTCCATTGCTTTTGGTGACGAGGTATTCAAGACTTGCCAAAAATTAGATCAATCACCCTTTGTAGGTGCGCCAAGAAAAATTTGGTGGGAACCATCGATCTAGGTTTGCTGTTCTCTCAATTTTCCATGATAAATGGTATACTCTGATAAATATTATTATTATGAGTAGAATCACTTTAGTGGCAATGGTTGCAAGGTACAAATAAATATACCAAAATCAATATTATAAGAAATGGAACATACTCTTTGTAACTAAACGATTATGCGTGCTCATGTTCCTAATATTAACGAGCCTGATAGCGGCCACTCCCTATTGGAAGAAATCTGTTTCGATTTCTTTGGGCTTTGGGTTAATGAATAACCGGCATTTAGTATTCAAAGTATTCACGATCACAAAACCTGTTTACTTCGAAATTCAAGAATTTTTTGAAATGTCTAACCTAGTAAAACATCAAAATTTGTTAAACAACAAATAAATGTTACACAGCATGCCAGCATTAACCAATTATAACAAATAGCTACTAAATTGCAGATAGTTTTATTTTAGTTTTATTAAATTTAAAAATTCAGCAAAGGGGAATAATATTTACATAAAATAGAATAAATAAGTTCTCAACAGATGGTATGTGCATTAAATCATCAAAATTTCTCTAGCTTGAATTTATTGCATAAATGAGCTGATAAATTAAGAATTAACTTATAATTGAAGGTGCATTATGCTAAATCAAAAAAGTCTTCTAATGTGGTAAATACATTTCTATTTATATTCTAATATTCAATCCACCAAGTAGAATTCAGGATAGTAAACCGAAGTAAAAATTTTGCATTTTCCTGAGGTTGATAGTTGAATTTTCAGACTTCTAATGGTGATAATCACCAATTGAGGTGAAGGATAGTAATTGACAGTCTGCCTGAAATTTTTTTTATTAAAATTTGATTTCCTTGGGAGTTCGGAACTGGAGAACAACGTTAGAGGATGGTTGTAAATTTCCAGTTTTTCTTTCATTTGTAAAAATATCCATAGCCTACTGCTTTTGATTTGAAAATTACAAAATACAGATTTAAAAATAAATGAACATACCATTCGTGGAAAGTAGAAAATGTGCAGGATTCTTGCGTTGTAACCATCGAATTTTATTAATTTTTTCCTCAATTTCTAAACTTTTTAAATAATCGAACTCTGGTTCATGACTTTGAAAAGTACTGTAAACATTGTATTCACTCCCACGCACTTCGCTATTCTTCGTCTGAAATATTAGAGAGTAAATGAAAAGGCAGGAAAATTTAATAGGCCATACAAAATTGAAATTGCAGCAAAACTAAGAAAAACTTCAGACTTGAATATAATCATAATTCGCTCATGGATAAAAGATAGGGTATTTTAGCAGTGCCATTTTTTTATTTTCCAGAAAATAACAAAAAACAAAATTGTCTAGATGCAAATGAATAATTAATATTTGGCACTGGTTGTCTCTCATTGAAATCATTTCCTAAAAAATAGTAAATAGTTGCTTCATGGAATTGTAGGTATTCACTGATTCAAAACATGCTCTCTATCACATTTGCTATGAGTAAAATCTTTTATTCTCCACATGGCAAACTGAACAAAGCAAACTGGTATGTATATCTGTCAGAGCTAGAGGAGTGTGACAACAACAACGTTTCTCCTTTGTTTTGTTTTTTAGTATTAGACACACTTTTGCAATTTTCAAAAATTATTCCAATCTTATTCGTCTTATTAATGTTGTCAGTTTAAGCTGAGAACAAAACAACCGCACTATCCAGATATGTCAATTATTAGGCCTGTGTGTGTGTTTTCTGATCTAATTTTTTATTCAAGACAGGGAGATGTGAAACCTATTGCTCAGGCTAGGGATGGAAAGTTAGAAAAGCAGTATCTGGCTATATTACCGTAGTTATTATTTATTAAAGTGTGTGTGCACTTTACCGGTGAGAAACTTCTGTATTGACAATTAAGGCAATATTGTGTTGGAAAAGCGCATAGAATTGCTGTTCTTTCTATTTATTATCAACCAGGACACCTGAATAAAAAATTTAGCAAGGGCATTTTTCATACTCCTTTTTGGTGCACCTGTACAACAAGATATTTTTGATTGAATGTTGTTCAGCAGACTGCCTGAAAACAACATATGTAAAGAAGATTATAAATATTGTATAGAAATAGCATACCATTGGTTCTCTTTGGAAAATCACGACACGACCTCCTTTGTCTCCAGTTGCCAATAATTCTCCATCATAGTTGAATTCAACAGTGGAGATGATGTCAGCTGTCAAATAAGTATAAAACTAAACTACATTTACAAAGAATGAGGTGGAAACACAGTTGAAATTAATAACAAATTTGAGGTCAAACCGAGGGAGGTTACTATATATTAACAGTCACAGTAACAAATATTAATTTTCATCCACATTATTCAATTTATAGAATTCAAACATCGCAAATGTCATGCTAAGCTTTTTCGTAATGGAAAACGTGCTTACGCTCAGAGACATCCTCATCCATCGTTCCTTTGACTTGGGAAAAAAACCACTGCAGTTCACTGTTACTGCTCCCTCCTCCAGATCCACTCGAACTTGCTAGAATAAAAGAAAATTAAAATTAACAAAAAGGCCATGCAATGCAAGATGCAAAAGGTGAACATATCCAAGGAATAGTGTGACAGGTGTGTCTGCTTTACTACCATAATTGACCAATTTGCAATTACTCCATTATTTATACCATGTCGATTAATATCAAATTTCATCCACAAATAAACTAGTTATATTGAATTAATGATTATTAGGATATGGACTTAAAAATCTCCATAAAATATTAGAGCGCATAGTTTGGTCTCTTTGAAGTTACCTAGAACAGTGTAATTTTTGTTTTTATCCCGCATTCCTAAATGCGTAGCAAGCGGAAAAGTCTCTTTAGATGTTGAAGTGTCAGCAAACCTAGGACATACTCGACTTCTTAGTGATAAATAATCCATACATAAAGATCAAACTGAACAATATATTAAAGATAGACTAACCAGGAAACTACGCTACATATATTAGAAAGCAGTATATAAAAACTGGCATCATGTGTAAGTCAAAATATAGGCCATTGTTTCACAAGTATAAATATTTTTTATGACAAGCATTTACACCTTTCGCTTGGAACAAAGCTACACTATACCAGCTGTCACTAATATTTAATGATATGCAATGAGCTACCTATGATTTGGGAAAGAAAGAATCTGAGATTTGAAAACAAGATCTGTAATCTGCAATGCTAACAGTTGAACTGCGAGACCATCGCCCGTCAAAATTTTCCGAAGATTGAGAAATCGAAAAAGCTCAAATTTTACTTAGAGCAGGAAACCTATTCAATTTGTTCAATCAAGTAGCATGTCATACTGTCAATTATGTACAGCAAACTATTACCATTTGATTGCTCACATCTTTAAAGAAGAATCGAAAAAGGGAAGCGTTATGAAGGGGTGTATATGAATGAAAACTAATCCCATACTGTGGAAATGCTCTCTAACTTTTGACGAATATTTCAAGTGGGTATATCTGGACTTTTTCGTAAATAAATCTGATTTGAGTGTAACCTTTTAATCCATAAAGTTATACAAGATTTCAACAGTTATGTCAACTGCAACTAGCTCAGTTTATATACCATGGCCACAGAATATTGTTTTCAGAAAATTCAGATGCAAATGCATTTCAAACAAATTTAACGAAACTGGCAATTAACGAAAAATGTTCCAATCGATATGACGATTTCGTACCACACCATTTGAAACGAAAGCATATTTCAAGCAATGAATAAAAGCGAAAACAAGAGACGGATAAAAACAATCATTGTTGCCAATGAGTTCCTTGAAATTTAAATGAAAGCCGTCAAATCCGTATTTTTCCAAAACCTTATCTGTAATTTATGCACAACTGACATTTGAATCGGTCATTTGAGAAATAGGATCGGTCATATTATGCATTCTGGATAATAGTCTATTTATGATGAGACTGTGTACAATGGGGTTTGCACAAATGATTTAAAAAAAATAACGCTAATAATATCTTTCACACATTATATGCGTAACATCATTATTTTTTGCATAGGGCAATGAGTGATTATAGCATTGTGATGCAAAAGATCGATAAAATATTCGATTCAAAGTTACGATAAGAGAAAATAAATCACAACAATTAAGCATTAGTCGTCATTATCAGCGCCACTCGCCACGTGGCTTGAACATACAGAACATATGGCTTCTATGCAATGACATAAAAAGTGTTTGCCATTGTGAATGCATTTTTAGCTCAGAGTTGCAGTGGTGGTTTTATGAGATGGTGCAGAGATCACAGAAATTAAGATGACTAGGGCAGAAAAATAATCAGACCAATGACAAATTGATATTCATGCACCATGAGTAACACCAATCTGTCAATGTAATATATTCCTAGTCTGGTGAGAATTAGATAACAAATGGCTAAATTATTCAGTTATTGCTGCCATAAACCTTAAATCCTGTCAAATATTTAGCCACCAAGCAGTAACGTTATCACAATAGCAACTCATTCACTCGGAGACTAATCAGCATAGTAGTAGGCCTACGTTAATTGCTAATAGATAAAGCTTAACCCTTTACTACTTTACCGTACCGGTATAAAATCATCAGTAACGTTACCGGTACCGTATCGTCTGGACCGGTAGGTACCGTATGCGATATACATTGCGTTAACTATTAATAATATTATATAAGTAACTGCGATTTTAACTACCGCGCCATACGAATAGTAATTCTTATTAAGAAGTGAAAATTCGAAATTATCGATCCTCTCCAAGCTGTGAAACCGTACCTCAAACAAGTCAATAAATTAAAGGTGTATCAACTAATTAGTACTAATTACACACCAGCCATCACGATTGAAAGATCCTCTTCGCTCTGATTCGTTGATAAATCTTTATTTAATAATGATTCGGCGTAATTTTCCGGGTGATTCTTTTTGATGAAATATCATCCTCAAAACGCCCTTTCACTCCAATAGTAGCAGCGCCTTGATAGGCATAATAAAGGGATAAAGTGCTAGCCTCGGACCAGCTACGGTTTGTAATTGAAAGCAAAATTTATGCAAAAACGAAACATTACAAACTGACTTATTTGCTGCTTATTGAAATCTGAATTGTAGGATTTGCAAATCCATTTGAAAGAGAGGAAAGACAATGAAACGGCTTGATCATTTGGCTAACCACGGCCCCGCATCCAATTACCAGTCCATGTCGGGTATGTGATTAGATAGCCAGTTTGTTTTCAAGGGCATGTATAATGCACGGGCATCAGTGTGTGTGGATTGTAATACGTTGGTACTTAGTACCTCGTGAACTGAACGTAAAACAACATTTACACTAGTTTTACACTAGTAAAATCTGTACCTTGTTACAGTACTTCCTTTATTATGTTTTTTTTTCAGGTTTTTATATTTAACTCGTTTTAAACCTTGTTTTCACAGTTGTGATGATCAGTTTTAACCTCATCGAAAGCACGTTATGCTTGCCCTGTTAACTGATTGATAAGCTCGCACGTTCCTTAATTTAACAGTGTAATTGAGGAAATTTCACGAAACAATTTACTTTTGCCGCTAGATTAAACTTGTCAATAGTGTTGCAAAGGCTAAATAAAAATATATATACAAGATCGCAAATTACTCAACAATCTCGAGATCTTCCGGATTAATAAATTTTAAGTATATACACACTATTCTTAAGAGGACAAATATTTATGTTTTGTATATAATAGGCTTCTACGATTTTCCATGGTATTAATCAAGACTAGTCTATAAAAATGAAGACGTCGCCTGGGAATCATTATATTAACACGAAATGCCTTCGTAACAACGACAAAGTTAATTAATCCATTCAAAATCGGCCCCAGTATCATATATATATCTGAGCTTGCATCTCTGCTGTTTTCAGTCAAATACATCTGATCATACAGGCATATTACTTGTCATCTGCGCGAGGTGAAAATCGGAGTTCCGTTTCGCAAGAAATTTGGACCCCACTTCGGATGGAAATGCAGTTTGATAACTGATATACTCTTTAAAGAAGTAATCAGTAGTTAATTTTTGACCATACTTAAAATAGGCACAAACATACAAATTGCAATAAATTAAATTATAAATAGGCCATATGTCAGGGTGAAGGAGACGCGAGATAATACATGTATATATCAATATTAGGCATCAAACTTGAATTATCATATATATTATATATGCATATGTGGAAACAGTTCTGCAGTTTTTGAGATGACGGCACTACGATGATGGTAGTTTGTTAGTCTTCATCTTGCATTCATTTAAACTATAAATTGCGTAGCCATAGCATCAAACTAATAAAATTAAATAGGTACGTAAAATTGTAAGTTTGGGGTATTGCTGATTGGAAATAAGCTACTGAATGAAATTAAAACGTGCTGTGGTCTTATCTTTGATATATATATCAATTGTAGAACATGTACATACATGAAATAAATAATTATGAAATTCGAACAACACTTACTCCTGTTCATCTCACTCACGAAAATAAAAGCGCTAACCTCAACGAAGTGTCCAGAAAACGCCGAACATTAACCTACCTAAATGACACGAACAAAACATATATTGCATTCTCGTCATATAGTAACATTCAAGCAGATTCCGAATTTAATTCAAGTTCCTGGTAGCTTATATAGATTACAGTAGTGAAAGGTTGGGACACTTTTCTTCTTTTGCATATTTTGAGTCCTCTATTCTTCACATTCATTTCACTTCACGAGGCTAATGCCGAGAGGGGTAAATATAGTTTTTTTTTAGCGACAAATAATTTCCCTCGCGCGCGATACACATCTTACCATTAAAATGCTTTCAGAAACCTTTGTCAAGTGGGACGGACATTCGGACAGACCCTGGGGCACAATGGGGTATTCTGTTAAAGTTAGCAAAGTATGCCTTAAAAATAAGCAATGAATCAGCATTATCACCCAAAGAACGCGGGGACTTCAAATTTGGAGATTTATCAATTTTGAAATTAATGTCTAACCTAAATATTCCAGATATTTTTCCCAATAATTCCTTAAACTAATTTTCTGCATTGGCAACATAAAACCACTATTATTTCTACTACACATATTTATGCCGTGGGAGAGGAAAGTGATAAGACGGCTTAACAATATGGCGAACCACGGCCAGGGATGGCCATTTCCGAATACTAACCTATTCCGAATACATTCTAAAATAATGTTTTCGAATCTGGAATTCCGAATACATTCTAAAATCGAAAACAACACATTTTTATTGTAGTTTATTAAAACCCAGTAAAATAGGAAATGAGTTCCAATAGAAATATCAGAATAAAGCCACATACCAACAGCATATGTACACAAAGTAATTGATAGTTTATAGCTATCAAAAAAAAAATAATAGCAACTTGTGACACAGTCAGTTTATTAAAATTGTACACTTAGTACAAATGACCATATGAAAAGATAGCCAAGGAGTTGTCTGACGCTTTTTATCATTCATACCATGATATTACGATAATAGCCAAGTCTATTGACAAAAATACTACTTGTATTCAGATAATCGTGTATATTTTCTGAGAGTAATAAAATTCATTGGCAATACAGGCAAATGAAGCAAGCAACAACGATCGAATATCCATTATGCCTAGAGTATTCTACTACCTACCAGTATATTTGTATGTTAATTTATGTGAACCATATTGTTATTATGTGTAGCATATTGTTATGTCTGAAATTAGCAATAAGTTAGACGTTAGAGGATAGATGACCACCACTGCCACGCGCGCAGCCACGATTTTCAAAATCGGAAATTCCCATTGCCGCTTGTAACAGCCACCGCGATTGCGCGCTTGTTTCGTCTTTCTAGCGTATAATGATCATCTTGTCACGTAAAAAATATTTAATCCATGGGGGGTTCTACGAGATTCTAAAATATCTTTATATATTCATTTTATGAGTCCAACGTAACTCGCGGTTGCTTCTTCATACGTCAAAATAAAAACATTACTATTTGGTAGACGGCGATCTGTGGTCTAAAAGTACGAGATAAACTGCCTGATGGATTTAAATATGTATTTTTGCAATCTTGCCAACTCGTTATCGCCGTTAGAAAAATCTCAATAACTAATGTAAAATCCAGTAGAATACAACTTCATTTCATAGTTCATACAATAAATATACATATAAAGTTTAGCAGTAAATTAAAAATATTTATTCATCGCCGCGATTACTCCAACTGGTAAAATAGCCGACCTTTACAACGAATAATAAAACAACGAATATATATTTTTCTGTTGTGCAAAGTGATGAATTCGTGACCGATATGAGAATATTTAAAATGTCTTGCTTTATTAATTTAATCGTTTTCAATTTAACCTTCGGTTGCG